AGAATATTTGCTCAGCAGTCGGGGAACCCATCACTTCCACAGATATTGATGTTTGTCACAGAATGGGAACAAAAATCCCGATGTAAAGAATATCATTGTACGATTTGTTCGCCGGGAGAAACGAGATGCCGTCCTGGCTAAGGCCAAGAGGGCACGTCTTTCTGCTAACAAAATTGGTTTCCAGTCAACCGATCCTATATTTGTCAATGAAAACCTAACCCAGCTTGGGAAACAACTCCTAGGCGCAACCATAGCTAAGAAGCGTGGCGTTGGATGGAAATACGTGTGGACGCGCAATGGAAAAATTTTTGCCAGGAAAACGGAATCATCAGAGGTGCTCAGAATTGCTGAACGCGACGATTTAGAAAAGATGTGCCGCTAGGTATCGAACAGGCACTCTGAATTGATACAGTCTGCTGCGAAATGGCGTTATTTGACAGTTGTCAATACCATGATGCAGACAGTTTTAACAAAGCGGTCACGCATATTGGAAGGCACTTCAGTGCTTTACATTTGAACGTGCGCAGTATTAAAAATAAGGTTTCTGATCTCAGCATGTTCCTCGATTCCTTAGCTATAAAATTCGATGTAATTTTGCTTTCCGAGACATGGCTCGCTCCTAATGACTGTCCTTCACAACTACAGTCTTACAAATACAATGGTGTTACCAGGACTAATAGTCGTGGCGGAGGCGTTGCTTTGTACGTGAAGGACTGTATTCCTCATGATATTATTGATGAGCTAACCTTTTTGACGACTACCGTTGAATGTATTACAATCCGATTACCAAATGTTCTAGTTACTGCAGTGTATCGGCCACCCGCAAGCAGCAAATCTGATTTTCTTGTTATTTTTGAAACCATTATATCTAAGCTTCACTCGTTCCGCGTGCCATTTTTTCTGATGGGTGACGTAAATATGAACATGCTAAGCGATGACGTTGCCACTATACAGTTTGAAACTATTCTGTCCACCTATTGTAGTGAAAACACTATCGGTCTGCCTAGCCGAATCACGGACCATAGCGCCACTCTTCTGGACGTCTGTATCACAAACGTGCCGACGAATAAGACTTTTACAGGCTTATTTTCACTCGACCTTAGTGACCACTTACCCATTTTTGCTCTTTTTTCCACTGCAACGAATAAGCCTAGGTACAATGAAAAAACAACGTACCGCGTCATAAACCAGCTCACCCTAGAAAAATTTCGTTCTGAAATAACCCATACGGACTGGTCTTTTGTGTACGCTGAGCGAAATTCAGATCACGCATATAGCGCTTTCTCGCGCTATCTGAAAGCATGTTATGACAACAGTTTTCCTATGGTGACATACACAATAAAGAAAACGAAAATTCGTAAACCATGGATCAACAAGAATCTTCACAAAAGAATCAAAACGAAAAACAAAATGTATCATAAGTTTGTCCAAACACGCGACCTAGAGGTGCTGAAAAAATTCAAAACGTATCGCAATAAGCTAAACGCCGACATACGCAAGGCTAAGAAGATTTATTATGAATGCCTATTCGCCAAGATTTATAATGATCCTCGTAAACTGTGGAATGAAGTGAATAACCTGGGACAATTTACCGAAAGTAAAATGCGTATTAATGTCAAAGCCTTCTCCCAAGATATGAGCGACGAAGCAGCTATCACGGCTATGAACGAATATTTTGCCCATTCTGGTGATTATGTGCCTCTTTCAGGACATTGTACGCAAGAAAGGATTACCCGTAGAACGAGAGAGCCTAACACAATCAGTCTAAGTCCAGTGACACCTTCAGAGGTACACAGCTCGATAATTAGACTACGTAACAATGTCGCAAGAGGCGCTGATGACTTAAGTGCAGCGCCCTTGAAGCACGTTGCGGACCTTATATCGGAGCCCTTGGCTCATATTATTAATTGCATGTTAGTTTCTGGTATTTTCCCCTCAGAACTCAAGGTTGCGCGTGTATGTCCTGTGCACAAAGGCGGTGCTTTGAATGACATTTCTAATTATAGGCCTATCTCTGTTTTACCAGTGCTATCGAAGGTATTTGAGAGTGCCATAAATTGTAGACTAAGGAACTTTCTTTCAAAGTATCAAATAATAAACCCTGCTCAGTATGGTTTCCAGAAAGGAAAGTCCACTGAATTAGCCCTATTAAACGTAAAAGAGGTCATACTGAACAATTTTGAAAAAAGACTATATACAGTAGGACTGTTCCTTGACCTGAAGAAGGCTTTCGATAGCATAAAACATGACATTCTAGAAGAAAAATTATTTGACTATGGATTGCGTGGCGCTGCTCTTAAACTTATTACGAATTACTTATCTGATAGAAAACAATATGTTACACTCGGAAGCTTAGCGTCAGAAGCAACTGAACTTAAGCAAGGCGTTCCACAAGGTTCTATCTTAGGACCCTTGTTATTTATACTTTATATAGATGATATATGTAATATCCCATACACAGAAAAACTAGTCATGTACGCAGATGACACGAATGCCTTTTTCAGTGCTGATACAGTGGCCGATCTTCAAGTTACTGTAACTAATTATTTAAGACACCTGGAACTGTGGCTCCATGAAAACAAGCTTGACTTAAACGCAAGTAAAACAAAATATGTTATATTTAGGCCTCCTAATAAGCCATGCATTACACTGAATTTCTCCTTTCAAGGCACCACGCTGGAATGTGTTAAAACGCAAAAATTTCTAGGAGTATGGTTTGAGGAAAACATGTCATGGAACATACATATATCAAAACTTGTCTCTGAATTAGGTAAAACTGTTGGCTGCATGTATAAGTTATCAGACCTTGTACCATTATGGCTTAAAAAGGCTATATACTACGCCCATTTCTATTCTCGGTTATCTTACTGCGCACTAGTATGGGCAAAAACGTCTGCTCAGAACCTCAACAAACTAGAGACGTTACAGAAAAAGGTTCTTAGAATATTTGAAAAATTTTATGGGCTTCCTAGCGAACTACGTACTCATCAGCTCTTTATAAATCATGATCTTATTAGAGCAAGTGACCTTTACACATATAAACTAATACTTTATATTCAGAAAAACAAACTTCATCAGCATTCAATTGACAGCTCCTGTCGATACGCTCTCCGAAATCAACTAAGACCAGTTCCCTTTTCTCGCACACGTTACGGAGAATGCCTTCTACACCACCAGATACCAACAATATTGAACAAATTCTTAACCAGTATCGACTTCGAACTGCCTGAACGTATATTCAAGAAACATGTACGAAGTATGTTGTTACACGCATAGGAATTGCTCAAACAGCACTAGCTATCTTTCGTTATCATGTTTTTTACATGTTTTCTTTCCTTTTTGTATAAGAATTGTTGTTTTGCGCATGTGCATACAAGATTTATGCGACCTACGTGAAATTATGTATGTATTTTGTTCACTAAAAGGAAAAAGTACTAAGCTCTCATTTTGGCTTATGCATGTACAGTGAATTACGCGATATTTTTGTAAAATGCCTGCTGCTCTGGAACGGGTTCTTGGGCTCTCTCAAGATGTCTCCGACATCTTTTCGCCTAAGGACCTCCGACTTGATGTTGTTGGAAATAAACTTGACTTGACTTGACTTGACTGTAGAATAAATGAAGACATGAGCATGAGTGCGGTGGAGGCAAGGACTCAATAAGCCACTGTGTGCACAATCATGAACATCTTTAGTGATGAATAAAGAGCACCCCTTTACAAAACTGTAAGTCAACTCATGGCTGCTTCGCATACTACTACTCAGGGCTTTACGGGGAGATATGTGTGATTGTTTTTAGTGGTTGAGCTCGCCACGTACTGTAGTTTACCAGTCACATCAAGAAGGTTCTGTTCTAAAAAGCAGCTTTTCTTTATTGTTATTTTATGAAATGGCTGAAACTTGTGGTGCATATCAGTGGTATACATTGACATGCACATGAAACAAAGAAGTGGTTATTATATATGGCAGAGGGCCATGTGTAATGTAAGCACAGTAAAAGTAACTTCATTGGAAAGAAGCTTGCAGTGTAATTATGGCATGAGAGGACCACACTTGGTCTTACTAAGCCATAATTCAGTTCGGTTACTGAAATGCAAGGAGACAATATGATCCAACAGGTCAGCCTTGAAGAAATGTGCCGAGAGCTGACCAATGGAATGAAAATCACAAAAAAAAAACACAGTGTGATTTCATGGATTATGTTGAGTTGGCGAACCTCACTATAGGCAAAACAGAAAAAGTATTGTAGCTTTCCAAGTTTTTGACTGTGTACATACAAAAATTAATTTTAGAAATGTGCCTGTACTTGCTGCTATGAACATCTGTCAGTTTAAGTAAAGCCACATTGTTGCCATTGATAAAATAGCTGTTGGGCATTTAGAAAACATGTTGGTCAATTGTTTGGAATCCTTTTACAGAGTGAAAAAATTTTAGCTTCAGGATAAAATATTTCTATCCCACACAGCAAATCCCAGTTAAAATCTTACCTAGAGCCCAATATTGTTTTTAAGTGAAGTGAGGTTTTGCTGACTGACCTGCTGTTGCCAAACCAAATAAGTAACACTTTAAAAGAAAAAGCAATTGTAGCAGATCAAGTAGTCACACCTAACTTTCATTATGGCACTTCCAAGTTCACAGAGTAACTTCTAGGCATGCACTCTTGGTTATAAATTGCTTTCTAGTTTCCACTTCCACTCTCCCAAGTTTACTTCTCAGTTCCACTTAGTCTACACTTCACTTACGGTTATAGCTCAGCTAAGGAAGGGCTCAGAAAAATGTTCAGTCAGAAATGGCAGTCGACATTATGAACATCATACCTTGTTAAAAAAGAGGATGGAAGAGGCCTAGGAATACATGCAACATCGCACGTGCCCAATTGTTGGGTAAAATATTGAGATTAAAAGGCATTTTGCTGCATGCAGATCCCAACAATGTTGGAATGGCTGCAGTCTATGGCAGTGCTATGGCATAAATGGCAAATCCTTTCTTACAAAAAACTCACATCATATGTTCGAGTTCCCTTCATAGTTTCTTTCCGTCTTGCACAGGCCTTCATGTAGCTAAAATAAAAACAGTAAAGGTAAGGAAACAAGCGTCAAAGTCGCATGCAAGCCGATTTGTGGAAAATTTTTACAAAAGAGCTCATGTAAAATAGAGCTTACTAAATGAAAGACCAACCTGGCAGTCTGAAACTTATTGGTGGCATCCAGGATAAGAAATGTTTCCTGATTGAAATACAGATGATGCTCCAAAGGTACAGGACGCTGGGTGGTACAAATAACGTACAGCTTGTGCTCTTTAATACGCCTAAATCAGAAAACAATAGAAAAGATCTGAGCACAAATCTTCAAAAAGAAAATTTCTATAGTTCTGCAGTTGTGGACAAGCATCAACTTATAAAGGGACACCGTGATGAGCCATAAATTTCAAAGCTTCATGCACAGCATGGCACTACTCCCAATAAGGTGCATTATATAAGATGCAAATCACAATAATCGAAAACATGCTGCAAGCATCCTATAAAATATACTAGTAAAGAAAGGCTTACTAAAAAAAAACAAAGAGATTGCGAAAGTTTTATTCTGTTTAATTGCAGCTTTTGGGGGCCAAGAAATTAGAGCTCCAAAATAACTGAACTAATGCAAGTACACACCCAATCCAATTGGCGAGGCTTAGTGCATTTGGTACCGTGGCACTGAGCAAGACAAGCCCCACATGACTTGGCAGCATAATGAGGACTTCTTCCCAAACAACACCCCGCTGTAGTGAAAGAAAAATAATGCAATTTGCATGCTTATATGAGCACGATTGCAAAATTTGAGGTTTAATTTGAGACTGGAAGAATCACACAGCACCTAAAATCATGTACCCAATGTACAGAGACTAGGGGCAATCAATAGCAACAGCCCTTGAAAAAGCATATTCCAGCTTCTGCCAGATCCAGTACTGCCAATAGGCAATTACAGTAATGTGAGTAGTACAGTTTTCAAGATAAAAAGACCGTAAAACAATGAATAACTCTAAAGTGGAAACCTTTTATGGCAGCGTGTGAAGCTACCCAATCAGTTTAAAATTGACTTTGTAACATTAAATTTATAATTAAAACTATTTCTGAAGTAGGCACAAACTTTGTATCATGAGTCAAGTTATTCTGAAAGGTAGACTCAACATGTGCCACACTGCCACAAAATTAGTGCCCCATGTGCAGACCGAGTACCAAGAAGCAAACCACGTTAACATCCATCAAGAAATGCTAGACTATGCTGGAGCAAATTAGAAGCAGTTTTGTCGAAGTTATAGTAGACAGGGTGAGCATCACCCCACTGAAGGCCAACGTGAGCCAATTCAAAATGATGATGGTGAGTTTCCTCAATTGGCGAGGTGAAATCTACTATTAATATGTGTGTCATGTTCCATATAGACAGATAGTAAAGAAGTAGATCTATGTGAGAATTGCAATGTGTTTCAGGAAAGCTATACTCTGGAAAAGGACTCTGATGTAGGTAAATCGGAGTAGGATGGTGTTACTAAAAAGATATTTTAAAAAGTTTGAATAAAAAATAAGAAATTATTTGCTGTTCCTTTATAATTATTTCTGGTGTTGCAATGTTGATCATAAAAAGTTGAGAGTAGTACAAGTAATGAGGCCACTACTTCAAAGGTAACAAACTTGAGTGGATTGCATGTAGGTGGCATTGGACCTTGGCAGCATCAAAGATACATGTATCTTGAAAATTATCACAGATACTCTTTGGGTATCTTGTATTTGTATCATGAAAAGATAATATGAGTTACACGAGTACCTATCGAGTACCTATATTTTTCTATACTTGCTATTAAAGTGGCAATATATTACTCATACTACTAGCTGTGGGCTCTTGTCAAGCTGCCTATTTCGGATAGCAGCTTTTACTTGCAGCTGTCCTACATCAATCGTATTAATGAGAACTAAACATTATTATTATTATTATTATTATTATTATTATTATTATTATTATTATTATTATTATTATTATTATTATTATTATTATTATTATTTCCAAAACCTGTCGTCTGAAAACTCGATATACTGTATATTGCTGCTGATTATAGTTCTCAGACTGCCCTCTACATATATCGTGTAGTCAGTGCTGAATAGCTGCTGAGACACTCTCCAAAAAGTATAATAGAGCAAAAACAAGCACTAAGAAGACATGAATGTTTTGTTGGGCTCATTCTACTGGCAGAGGCCATTTCTCTCAACATAAGCATGCTGCTGGTAGTCCCATTATTAAACACTATGTGCCAGGTTATATCATAACAGCTGTATGAAATTCAGATTAGGTACTGTACACCACCAGGAATGATGTGGATAACATGAGTCATGACAACATGGCAGCCATTGCAAAGCAAGCAGCTCGAGCAGGTGTATAAAGCCTACTTCCTTTAGCAGGGAATTCTGGATATTGAGGCATGTGGCAGGTGGATATAATAAATCATCATTAACTCCCCCAACCTCTCCCACTCTACAACCAAGCTTTGAGAGATCTCTAGTGAGCTCAAGCTTTGATGCCCAGCTTGAACTAGCCAAAGGGCTATAATTGTTCAAGGCCACTCAGGCTAAGGACACCTTCCTAAGCATCAAGACCAAGCTCATCATTTAGCCACCAAATAAAAAGTACAGCAAACTCTTGTTGAACAGAACCTGAAGAGACTAGGAAAATATGTTCTGTTAAAAGGGTCATAAACTAGGGGTGCGCAAATGTTTGAAATTTTGAATATTTATCTAGCAGTGTTTGCTGTTTAATTCTATTCACACCGAGATTTTTGCCATTTGAACGATTAGAACTTTCCAAAGGCAAAGTAGTTAATGTCCAATTGACAATAGCCCCTTCAAATTTTTTAAGATGCTTCACCCTATTACGTTCTCGTATTGCAAAAAAAGATGCCTTTCAAGCTCTGCTACGGTCGCAAGAATGCATTTTTTACTCAAGAAAACGGTGGTTTCAACAGAGAGATGATAGATGTGGCAGACATGGAGGCTCAGTTAATGCTGATTCGGACCCAAGACTTGGGTAGGAAATCTGAAAAATCAGACGCCGAAAATTTTTAGCATCCACAATTTCAAATGTTCTTATATATTAGAGTCTACGTAGCAGATTTGGAACTTCAAACTCAAAGGAAGCACACACTTGTCCACCACATCAGTTGGAATTTCAGTTGCCACTTTCTCAAGTGCCCTCTTTTTATAGAGAGGCCTGTACTCATGCACTTCAGAGGGCTATCAAACAGCTGATTTTGAGTCATACAGAAGATTGCTGCGCTCGACCAATAGTTGGTATCAAGCAAGAGCAACATTTTTATCAGTTGTGCTTCTTGCCAAGAGGTACCACCATATGCCAGATAAATTGCTCTATACCATGCTTCAATTACACAGTGATGACACTTGCACCCAGTGGTGTAATGCAGCGAGGGAGCGATCATGCTTCATGATGCGTGCTCAAAGTCATGACGTGTATGTGCTGCAGCCTCAATCTCCATTGTAATCACTCCGAATGTGGCTTCCAGTTGAAACGAGAGTAGAGAAAAAACACTACAGCAAATCCCTGCAACTCTGCTCATACTAGAGAGATTCAAACATTTTTGCCAGCAATCGATTCGCGAGGCAATAAACTCCAAGCCTACAATCAAATTATACATTTCAATTCAATTCAATGCACCTAAATTAAATTGAATATACACTCACATCAGGGTCATTAATGTAGTGGCATTCATCAAATATAACCCATTCAAGGTCAGCCACTACATTCGATTGGTTGTAAAGCATGGATCTGTAAGCAGAAGTGGAGAAAACAAATGGTTAATAGTCTATAACATGCTATAAGGTAGTCTAGAAAAAAATAAAAATGAATTGCAGCAGATGCTCCCTACTGGGAAACTGCCAGATGTTGTGCCAGCATTATTTGTAATTACACCATATGGAAACACTAGTCAACATTATCCGTCATTTAGCCAGCACTAGCGAGCATGTTATGGTCCTTTGTTGCAGCCCCTGTAGAGGCAGTTACTTTAGAGCATTATTTGTAATTATAACACATAGAAACACTGTATAGAAACACTGTATCACTCCAGTTTTTCGTCTTCAACTTTGCAGTGCAGCCTTTTCCTGCAGTACTTTAGAAGCACTTTTTCCTGGGCGAGTTGGTGTGTAACTTTACTAAGCATGTTATTTGTGGTGCAAAGGTTGAAACACGAGGCGAGGAAAGAAATAAAGAAAGAGCTCATCTGTCTCTTTTTCTTTTTCTGTCTTCTTTTTTCAAGCTTTGTGCCTCAAATAACATGACTGTATGGTATTCTTATTAGCTTTGATAACTGTACTGTCGTTTCTTCTTTTTTTCCCCCAACTGCATTATATAGGTAATCTATGAAGAAAATGCATAACAAATAAAGTCACATGTGTATCTGTAGACCCAAGATCAAAGACTAAACAAAGCTGCTTATGCTAAACCATCTCAGACGGCTGCTAAAGGTTCATCATTACCCACAAGTTAAAGCATCACTTGGCAACTAAGCTAGGCCCACAGAAATCAGGAAAATGCACAAAGCCACTGAGAGTACTCTTGAGCAAGTGGAATATGCTGTTCCTAAATTTATTCACAGTGAGTTACAGCACATCAGAAATTCAATCATGTTTTTCCGTATAGACTGCAGATGGAACAGCAGCACACTCAAGGCAAGTCATACATAAATGCATGAAAGCACAATGGTAACACGTTATAATCTATAACCAGTACTAATAAAAATAGCACAGAACCAGAATAAATCAAGCTACAATTGGTAAAAAATATGAATCAAACTGATGCCTGCCTGAGAATCTCTGTTGTCATGATAAGACAAGATGCCTCCTTGTTGATCTGGACATCACCTGTGATAAGCCCAATGTCTGTAAAGGTTTCTTTGAAGTCACGGTACTTTTCATTGGACAAAGCCTTGATAGGAGATGTGTAAATTGTCCTGCATAAATAAAAAAAAACTCAAATAAGAATACAAATCTGAACTAGCACTTTTTTACAAAACATCAAGCTAATTCATTGGCAAGTGTTCCAGCTCATACACAGACCTTGTCATGTGACGTCGAGAGAGTGCTATGGCGTATTCTGCAACTACCGTCTTTCCTGCAGAAGTGTGAGCTGCCACAAACACAGAATCTTTGTTTTCTAAGTGAACAATGGCCTTCTTCTGAAAGGTGTCCAGTTCAAAGGGCCACTGTAAAGACCACAAAAGCTTTGCTTAGCATAGTACAACATAAGAGTAACTTTTCCTTTTAATTAGATAAATGTTTTAATTATACGTGCATCAGTTCTTACTATACAGTACTGTCCACTAATAAAAATACCATTTACAACACAATGTTGCTTATAATGACCACCACTTTTGTATTCGCAGCTTCTGTATTGGTGCATGAAAGAGTAATTTAAACCATAGAGTGTATAAAGTGTAGGTCACATTGAATAGCATTTTAGATTATATCCATGCTTCATAACGGTCTTTCTAAAAAAAAAATAGGTTATTAATTGGAATAAAATAATCAAAGTTGAAGACAGCAATGTTAAAGACAGATAAAGCCATTCTGCACACATCGCAGAGGGCACTCCATAACATTGGCACATGATGTCAAGAATTTTAAAGGGCTGTAGCAGCCATGATCCATACGATGCAGTAATTCAATACAATACTCATGTAATCAATACAATACTAATGTAGTCAATGCCCCGTTAAGATTCACAGCAGAGGTAACCCTCTGATGCGCTTCAAGGAGTAGTACTCACCCCAAAATTTTGAACGCCAAATTTGCAAGATAGATTTGTGTGGACACATAAAACATCATACAGAAAATATCAACAGCTAATATTGCCTACAGCATACATATTTGAAATCAATTTTTTCGTGTGCACAACTGCACACGAAACACCCCACCTCAAGATATCGACACCAACTTGGTTTAAAAGTAAACGGCCAACAACGATGTGCATCACATGCTTGTGTTGGCTGCCATGCTCCTTGCGAGTGCCCTCTACTGGCAGACCTTTTCAGAGGAAAGAAGCAGCACCTCTTTTACAGACTTGCACAGGAGTACAAAGGCTGCCGTTCTTGCCTCGGTAGTGCATTTTTGGTGGCTCATGAATATTTACAACATCTCAGGGGAGATTATAGCAGCACCCAGGGAGCGTTCATTAAAAATATTTGTCAATGCAGTGCTTGTCTGCACATGGTTTTGTGTGTCCACATAGCCAGCAATGTTTACATAAAAACCACACTGGATCGCACTTCACTCGACGCTCTTCGAAACTCAAACTTCGACTGGGCCCCAAAAAAGCCACCTCGACATAATTAACTGTTGCACTCAAGTGAATGAGGTTACCAGCAGTGATAAGAGGGTCTTTAGCTACTTAGTGCAACAAAAAAACCAAGATAAAAAATTTTTGTGCCAGCAGTACTTTAAAATAAAGTACATTTGACGCCCCCAAAAAACCGGGGCCAGCACAAGAGCAAGCATGGCGATTTATAACAAGTGCAAGAGGCATTCACTAATCAATTAAGTAGGTTACAGAAGAATCCAAACAAATTTATTACTTTGTAAGTAATATTGATTACAAATCAGCAAATTATTGTGTGGTTGTGTACCAAGACATTAAAGCAAAAGCCAAGGACATAATGTGACTAATCAGTTACAGAACAAGAATAATGCACAATTCACTGTGCACGAAATTCAAAAATTTCGTCAGAAGATGGTAGTTGCATACACTAAAGGCAGGATCGGGAACTTTTTCATGGAAGTCCAACATGGGCTTGGAAATATCCACTTGTTCAGCCCACTCAAGACACACACTGCGGTTATTCGTAACATTGCTGATCTTCAGAACATTGGCCGAAGGCTCCTAAGATAACAAAAAAAATGCATCAAATCAATAGACAATCGCAGGAAAGAAAATTACAGGAGTTCAACAGCAATCAGTCTGCACAGCCAAACTTCAACAAGCACTTAAACACACTATAAACAACAGCACTTCAACAAGGCCAGTTAGGAGAAGTGCTTTCCCAGGAGCACAGCATGGCACTACATTTTATAGAATGCAGAAGTTAATAGGTGTTTGACATATGTGTAACACAGTGCTTTACCTTTGCATGGAACTTTTAAGCCAACATTACAGGTTGTCTCCAGACAGTGAGGTTACCAGCAGCAGGTGCAAAAGTTGGGCACGCGAAAATAAGAGTGAGCTTCAGATTTTGAAAAGAACACTGCTACTACTGGTTACCACGATACAAGCACAGAGGTCAGACAGGCTGGCCACAATAGTCAATGAACTATAGTAGGTGAAGCTGTTGTTCACTGTCATGCATGAAGTAAAGGCCACATTTCAAGATAAACAAACAGGTACAATCCAAAGCCAGAAGGATCAGGGGAAGAGCACCAGCCAGTCTGCCATAGTAACTGTAGCTGTGCCCCTAACTTCCTTTTTCCATTTTTTTTTTCATGCCAGCTATAACTTATTAGGTAATGGTAATAATAATTACAGGTCATAATAAATATAATGGCACTTGAATAATCTTATATAAGTGGGTTTTACCACAATTTTAGAGGAAGAGTGCAAAAGCCTGCAAATAGTGCGTGACGAGTTTTACCTATATTATATCTTTAATCAAGATAATTTTCTCAGGATGTGGCTAGGAGCTGCATTGTTAAGTAATGTAAGCATATTCTCGAGATGGTGTAATAAAAACATGGCTGATCCCCCAGGTAGGTCACTAGAAGCATATTCTAATATCAGTGCAAGATGTGTGTCCTTACAAGGATTTTAAATTGTGTCATTTGTAACAAGTTGATCTTGGAGCCTGTACAATCAAAGCATGGTTGGGCTGATCGTCATGATGGTTTTTCATTGCAGATGCTGAGGTGCAGCATGAGTCATTTTTTTTTCAATTTTTTTTTTTCACATCAATGCCTTGCCAACTAAATGTAGCGAAATGGTTCTTGCATTACTGATGTGCAGACATTATAAGAGTAGGTTGAGCTATTGTGCAAGCTGAACACTTTCTCTCTCTTTTCATCGCCACAAGCATACTGGAGAGCTGAATGGTGGGAGGGAGGAGGCTGGATGACAAGGAGGTGATCTGCTGTCCAGAACATACATCTCCCTACACCAAGGCATTTAACATATTCTCTTCTTTGCTTTGACAGAAGTAATGGTCATCATTACTTCTGCATCAGATATGTACAGCACCAGACTTAGTGCCACACCACCACATGCTGGCACATAGATTCTAACACCATCAATCCATGTACCATTTATTATTAATATCAGATAATACCTATGAGAGATCAGCACTGGATAGGTGGTGCACCGAAAAAGAACACCCGACTGAGTTGTGTCACGACAGTGACACAACTGAGCTGCACGCGCCTAGATAACCAGCGGCAGTGTAACGCGGAGAGAACATGCACGTGTGCTGTTCTCGTCCTTCATTTTAGCACGAAGAGCTCAATAAGCTGCTTTACTAACAATACTGCACTGTGGTTTTAAAAAATAGCTTTGTCCGAAGGTTTCTCTCACAGGAGTATACTGGAAAACAAAGAGAAGCTCTGTAAAGTGAACTCCGTCTATATATATGTTTATGGTGTGGAAGAGACAGTGCCGTGTCGTGATAGCCATTTCCTCATCAAAATTTTCACAATTTTCTGGCAGCTTGCTGTGATTTGTGTCAAGCTAGCGCAGGCTGACATGGCCCCATTGTAAGTACGTGCTGTGTCAATGCCATGCTGGCCACTTCTGCAATAAGAAAAATAGAGGTAAGGGGTAGCTGCATAATTTTTTTTTCTGCTGTGGTATATGTTCCCAATGCGCGATATGTATGCACATGGACATTTATCAAGCAAACCATCGTGGTAGCATTGCACACATGATGCCGCACTCCTAAGCTCAAGGACGCAGTGTAGATGCCGGCCACAGTGGCTGCATTTCGATGGGGGTGTAATACAAAGAACACTAGTGTACTATAATTAAGTGCAAATTAAAGAACCCCAAGTGGTCAAAATTTGGTCCTGATGCCCACACTACAGCGTGCTTCATGATCTCACCCTGTTCGGCATGTGAAAGCCTAGCAATTATCGATGTTCGCCAAACTCCTTTATTCTAAGAAGACACTAGCAAGCAGAAAAACTAATACACTAGATTAGACAAATTAATCAACTACAAAAAACCAAGACATTTGACAATTATCTAGCATGGCATAAATTCTGATGTCACTTCGGTATGGAGGTCAATGCAAGTAGAAGCTTTACCATATCAACTGACTCCAGAAAGCTAAGCTTCGAGTAGTCTGCTGCTTTATTCGTAACAAGTGCGATGTCTAGCACAAATTAAGTTAAATGGAGGCATCTCAGCATGTGCGTGTGCATTTTTTACAACAGCTGGTACAGCGGCTTAGGTGAAGGATCCCTTGCAAACATCTCATAAACAAGACAACTTTCTTTCTACAAAGCTGTTTGCAAATAGTGTGAACTGCCTGGCTATTGTAAATTTTAACATTATGCAGTGGCATCAAAAGAAGCTTAGTGATGATGGTTGAAAAAAATTTTTACATATGCTGCATGCTGTACAATAGCTCGTTTTATTTTCAACAAACCGCCGATTAAATGTTGCTGCTTGGCCATGGTTTTCCCCAGTGGCTTCCTTGACTATTGTATAAATCTAGCAGCCATGCGCAATTCAGCTTAGAAGCCATCCCAAAGCCACTACACAGTAGGGTGAGAGCAGAACATGCTCTGCTCACTAGACCGCCTAGGTGCAATGTCGCCACCGTTCTTATTCATATGATTTAAAAGAAAAAGTGGTGACTCATAAGTCCTCTCTCATTTCTACATATTGTGGCACTTAAATACACAGCAGCACTGCCAGAACTCTTTGGTTTCGTTCCAGCGATGCGTGCCGACACTGCCTTACCAGTCGCAGCGCTCGTCTGCAGGAGCGGCTGAGAAGTGCGCGCTTTGACCACCAGGGAGGAGCTATCTCCACTGACAAAATTTTTCCAGTGACTCTATGTGAAAACTTTAGCACTGGATCCCTATAGGGCCTGCTCTTGGCATAGCCAGGCCACTTGCTGCTAAGCTGGTGACATCGTGAACAAGAGAGCAAGCGATTTTTGGCTGTTGTCAACCCAAAACCATAAAGTCTCTGCTTCATGCAACACAACAGTCAAGCTCACATGTATATGCAGGAGCTTTGTCTATAGATCATAAACATTTTACCTTAAAGAAAGTGGACCTTTAAATCCTTCCTGTTAACTCTTACCAGCATGCTGGTCACCCCAGGTAACAACCTCTTCTTATTTTTTTTTTCCTCTTGAAACACACGAGCCCCGAGTGTTGAATTTTAAATGGTGCATATTTTAAAGCTCTCGGCGATCTGACAGAGATGACACTACTTCATTTGGCTTCAATGTGAAATGTTACGTTTGCTTTCATCTAGCTGCCGTCGTGCCCAAGGCACGCTAGACAGTGCACCCGAGATATTTTTATAGCTATTCCTAAGAAGATAACAGTATGTGTTGTTTGTATTAGGTATGTTGATAGTGCAAAAGGGCATGTTGTATGAGATGCTAGCGCTTAAGAATATAGAAACTAAAAGCTATAGTTTCACCAAAAGTGACCAGTAGAACCATAAAGCATGGTGGTCACCTCCCATAATTTGAACTAAAATTGCCAATTTTTGTTTCTTGTGAGAAAATCGATTTTTGCAAAACATTTCGCCATTTTTTTTTTTCAATAAAACTCTGTTTCCCGCCAGAAATGAAGTTCTGTGCGTGAAAGAGTTGAATGATGAATGACTATTATTTCAGAGGAGTACAGATTGCTAATTTCAAGGCACTTTACTTAGTCAAACATGTAAAGAAATAGAGAAAAACATAGAAACATGTACTGTTGTCTCTATATCTGTCATTTCTGTCCACCTTTCCACTCTGCTAGAATTACACAATAATTGCAATGAACAGTGCTAGTTTCTTCACTTAAAAAAAGCATATTTTACTAGTGATAGTTTACAACTGCCCATGAAATGTGAAAAGGAGACCCGTAATAACTTTTAAAATCTCTTGAGCTTTCTATATACTGAAATATGATGGGATAGCAAATTTCAGACTGGACAGCTACCGTCCAAATTTTATCACCCATGCTCATTAAAATAATAATAATAATAATAATAATAATAATAATAATAATAATAATAATAATAATATTATTATTATTATTATTATTATTATTATTATTATTATTATTATTATTATTATTATTATTATTATTATTATTATTATTATTATTATTATTGAGGTTTTATATCTCAACACCACAATACAACTATGAGAGATTCTCCAGTGGAGCGCTCCGGAAATTTAAGCAACGTGGGGTTCTTTTATGTGCCCCTAAATCTAAGGACACGGGCATCTAGCATTTCGCCTCCAGTGAAACGCGGCCGCCACGGTCAGTGTTCAATCTAGTGCCAGTGACCTGCAAGTCAGTAGTCGAGCGCCTTAAACACTATACAATCATGGTAAGTGACACACTGCCCACGCAGTACCTAAATATTACGCCAGACAGAGTGACGAGCTATGTCTTTCCACTAGATACTCTGCATGAAATATCCTGTAGTGATCCTGGCTCAGTAAAGAGAGTTATAGTGTTGAGGTAAGAATAGTGATGGGCTTATAGAGTAGAAAAAGAAAGTGCCTGGCATGTAGTGCAGTGGTTTCACATGCTACAGGATTGATAAGGTATCCATTGCTACAATACTCAAAAGCACATCACAGACAACACACAGCCACAATCTTGGGGTGGCAAGCACCAACATACCGACTGAAGGTGCTCCAACAGTCCAGCATCATCCAGAGTCTGATTCAGCAGGCTATCACTTATTTGCTGTATGAAGAAAGAACATCAATCCATCATGTTGGATAGTTTCAAATCAAATTATAGTGATTCAAATATTACAGAAGACACATGCACAACAATTTACAAAATGAGAAAGAAAGAAAGCTTTGTTGGTGTACGTCTCTCCCAATGTCCTAGGTCACTTTCACAATCTAGTGCTAGCACCTACCATGCTACAGTGTTGCCAAGCATTTAAAATGGTGGCTTTTGGTAAGATTTATTAGAAAAGAAAGCAATAGCAAACTCATGCTCATTGTTCAGTGCTCTTAAATGGACCTCAAAGGGCCCCCTGACAGTGAAAATATTTTATGACTTTTGTACTGTAACTTGTATTTTGTGTCTGCTAGTCCCGAAATTGAATTGTAAATAGTTTCCCACATTGTATAATAAGGAAAACATCATTGATTGAGACCAATTTTAACGTCACTTTGACAGGTCCCCCTAAAATCATAATAATAAAAAACTAGCGCCCCACAGTGAGAGAGTGCCTAAGATACCATGAGGTCAAGTTTTGGTAATGTTGACAGTGCCGCTTCCAAATTGATTCCCCGCATCTGGTAAAGATTGAAGTAATGTGCAGGGGTGGAACAGGGTGCATGGGTTTGGGAGCAGTCGAGGGAGCAGGCAAAACTGCTTTTTGTAGCAGGCTTGAAGCAGCCAGAAGGGCCTTTTCAAGTAAGTTTAGAGCAGTCAGAACATTCACAGCAGATGTAGCCCCGTTACACAGCCCTTGTAAAGCAACATTCATCCAATGCTGCATTTTTTAAACACTCAGCTAAATTGTGCAATAAACTTATTATTGCAATATGAATTATGCGGAAACTCTCAATGGCTTCTTCTCATTGTCGTCATGTCTCACATGAAGCCCAAATTGATAGTATACCTCCATGCGTTTTATCCTCGGGTAAAAGCGTGGGAGCGGGGGTGACAAACACGGCTGAACCAGAGATCAAACAATCTGGCCCATCTCTATCATTATAGGAGGGCGCATGCGATAACATCCACCCCCACCGAAAGCCTGTGGTTGAAACAGAGAGGAAGCACTCCAACCATCTTACACCCCTGTCACACGGCCACCACCAAACTCCGTTGAACACCGTCAACGTAAACCTCCCCTAGGGGGTTCGACGGAGAAGGAGTTGTGGCAGTGTCACACGGCAATGACAAGGTTGCAATAGTTGCCGCGAGGGGGCTCAGCTGGCGCTGTTTGATTTTTGAAGAAGCATTCTAATTTCATCTTTATTGATTTTTTTTGTGAGTCCTTGTTATGCGGTTTTTACAAAAAAGCACCATTAAGTAAGTATGCGACTAACAAACCATTAAAAATAATTTCAAATAAAAACGCATTTGCTAAATGTAGCAATGCTGCTAGTGACGCTGGCCACATTGTGCCTTTAGTTGTTTTCTTGCCGGTAGACATGCCCGGTACGAAAATTCTTATGCTTCCTTGCCTCGTGAGCGCACATTTTGTGTTCTTCAGCCATGAGTGACACAGCGGACGACGTGAGGAAGTGGTACCATATTGCGTGGGTAATGACGTTTATCGGCTGGCGCCGGCCGGCCCGACTCGTGAGGCACGGTGTGTAGGGCATCGGTGTTGAGAATAAGTGAACTCTGGCGGGCGTAAATATATGTAAACAAACACGCGTTGTGAATGAGTACTACAACGAAAGAATGTTTAATATTGCCAAAATGTATTATTCTTTCACTGCGGCCACTTAGTGCTCGAAATTTTTCTCTGACCTCTAGACTGCTGGGGACGAGAGTACCTCGTTTCGCTGCGAAGGGAGATCGTTGAACGTCCTTTTGCGAAATGCCCCGTTTACCTTCGTTTGCGTAAGGGTGGCCGTGTGACACGGACCGCATCTTCGTTGTTGTAAGGACGAGGGAGTTAAACGGTCTTCGCGGTGCCCGTGTGACAGGGGTATTAAAGAGCATGAAAGAAGCGAGGGAGGGGGGAGGGGGGTGTCGCTCGAGCAACGACTGTGAACTTCGCTTCTAAGGGCATAGTCGCGATCGCTGGTGCGCACGCTAGCCCGGCAACCATCAGCGGGCAGCTTTCATACACTTCTATATGTGCTACACTCTCGTTGCTCTCATTGCGAAGAGACTGAGCAAAAAGTATTGCTCATCTAAAGTGGCTGTATTCTCGTGCACCAGCGTTTCGTAGAGTTATGTGAAATATCAGATTTAAAAGAGTTAGCTGCCAGCCTCACTTCATATAACATTATAATTTGTTGCTATCGCATTCATCGCTCCGCCCTTGCAATGCAATTGTGACTTTTTTTAGCTATGTACAGCCACCCATTTATTTATTTTTCTAACCTGAATGCACGAGCGTCAACCGCCGAGTCGACAAGCATCTTTTATGGAGCACAGCAGCCAGATGAATCAGAATACGTGCATACACTCGATGAACAGTCCTGTGCACCTGTCTTTGCTAGGCTGGTCTGGAAACCAGACACCACCCCCACTTCTTTTGAGCACAGTTACTGTCATCCTTTTTTTCTTTTCCGAACGCTGCCACCAAGTTATAAAAAAAACAGTTTCACTGGAAGGGGGAAGCAATGAATGCGATAGAAACAAATTGTAAGGCTGGCAGCCAACTTTTTTAGATCCGATATCACGAAACTCTACAAAACGTTGATGTAAGAGAATATGGGCGTGTCAAGGAGAGATGCTTTTTTTGCGCTCTCTCGCATTCAGAGCGCAGCACGTAGAAGTGTTCATGAGCCATCCGCGCTGATGCCAGTCATGACATCGCAGGCACATAGCAATCTTGACCGCGCCCTTAGGATCAGAGTTAACAGTGCCGCTGGAGCAATCACAGCATTTACGAAACCGAAACTATAATTATTTCGATGAAACTGAAAGGACGATATTTTGTAAACCCACTTCCGGGCCTTGCTGGCTTTAGAACCTTGCCACTAAATCCGAGTGCTGCGGTGCAGTAAGGCACTGATAAGCAAATTTGGCATAGCAGGGGTGGTTCGGCGTAGGATGGCACGGGTGAACAAGTTTGGCACATAATGATGCAAATGGCGCAGCTGTTCCACCCCTTCAATGTGGCTGCTTCAGTATGAGTTAAGCCTGGTAAAATCACGTCCTTTTTAGAAAATAAAAATCATTGCTGATGTAACCAACCAGAAGCACCTTTAAAGTAGCCGAACAACAAAGTGAGAGAGACGAGGAACTGTAGCCCTCACTGGGCATGAGCTGTGGTGTTATGTGGGCCCCACAAATCCTCTATGACATCGACAATACTCACTTCACTCGTGGAATGTCACATGGGGTCCCAATATAGGTACGTCATACCAGTGACTATGTCGCGAGGTACCAGCAACTCAGATGAGCACTTATGCTAACTTTAGAACCTAATTAAAGTATCATAAATGCAATATTTGTAACAAATAAATGGTCAGAAGCGCCCAAGTATACAGGACAATCAAACAACATAAACATCTCGAGGTTACAATTTTGTTGTCACGGGTCCCTTCAAAGGGCCCAAACCACTTCTGATAATTTTTCAACATTTTAAGTAAACAAGGGCACAAGCTCAGAAATTCTTCACGATGAACAATGCCAAATCTGGAAGTGCTATGAGCCGCGGATATCTCGTAAATTTCAAGAAGCAATCTCTTCTCTCTGGTTCTTTCTGCAATTCTCAGGCCCTCAGCGTGTGTCGTAATGTGTATATTCTCGTCAAGCAGACAGATACCCATTTGTCTGCTCACAGGTACGCTTGCTCGCCGCTCTTCCTCCTCACATGGTGAGGAGAAGCACTTGGCCAGGAAGAGAGACAAGCCAATGAACAGAGCATAGTAAGAGGGAAAGAAGGAAATGAACGAGGGTCACTTTTGAATCATCGAATGCATGTAACTCCGCTCTTATGGCATCTTTTCGAAAAATTCTCCTGGCTACGTGTTAGTTGTAAACTCAGACACAGCTGCAACACTGCAGTCAAATTTCGACATGTGGGTGGTTTGGGACTCTTTAAGAATGTTTTGAAGAATTTTTAGAGATGCATTGAGCTAGTGGAGCAAGTCCTTGAGGTCATTAATACTAGAACAATTACAGCTCTCTGCTTAAAATGTGTAATTTAATACAATACTTTAAATTTATGAATTATTAAGGGTCACAGCAACACTGCCAAATGAGTTTCCAGCCACACCTGGCCACGACAAATTACATGGGTGAGTTGTTTAACTTTGATCATAGGCGTATCAGCTGAGGGGGCAAGGGCACTGTGAAAAGTTGGGGGCCTGAGCCACCCCACTTTCGACAGTGGTCACTGTCGGCTGCACACTAGGGAAAACAACAACTAAGGCAAAAATTTGCTTCACAACTGTAACCACTAAATTATATTGTTACGAGAAAAAAATATTACAAGGCAAAGGTACAATCTAGTGATATTTTCTAAAATTTCATCAGTGACAATTTTCCTCGAAGGCTCTTTGCGACGCTTTCCACCTTGTACAGTAGCACTGCAGAGCAAGCTAGCGCTGAACAGGTGCCCTATATATTACATCACTTGTTCATGTTTTTATTTTAATGCAACTGGCCAATGCAGATATAGATAAGAAAGAACAAAATTTAATGGACCGGTCAAATCATTTGCTGCTTCGGCAAAATCATTTTCTTTCATAGAAAAGGATTACCATCACTGCTGCTCTGTCGAAGCTGCTGTGAGCACATGATTGCGACTAATCTTTCTAAATATTTTAGTTTTACCATACTGGAAACACCAAGAAAGGTTTCTACTTTAATCTTCGATAAATCTGATAAGCCTTATGGAAACTTGGAGTGATGGGGGCAGCTCAGTGGAAAACTAAAGTAAGTAGATAGAAATGCTCAACATATCGTTGGTTCCTCAAAAAATGATTCACATTTAAAACCTGAATTCTTTGTGAGCCGTGTTTAGTCATTAAAAATTTCATTCAATGATAAAATATTTACTGTTGACGAGGCTGCCATCAACATAATTTTAT